CTACCCCCTCCACTGGGCCCGAGAGGTTAGAACTGCCAAGATGGCCCAAGATGGCCCAAGAACGGCCCAAGTGCGGCCCAAGAGCGGCCCAAAAGGGCCCCGATACGCCCTTTTTGAACCCCCGAGGGGGGGGACATAAGAAAACCTTCCTCATTTTTGAGCCATGGGGCCCAAAATGGCCCCAAGAGACCTCTCAGACGCCCCCAAAGAGCCCCAAGAGGGCCCCAATATGGCCCTAAAAAAGCCCCAAAAGAGCCCGAACAGGGCCCCAAGAGGACCCCAAGAGAGCCCCCAGATGGCTCCAAGAGACCTCCGAAAACCTCTCACAACAACACCTCCACTCGCCTGGGCATCGTTGCTGGATGGGCTGGTGGGGATACGCGAAGCGTCAAAAATTACATACACAACAAACAGTGTTTGCACTCAGTGGCGTCCCACTTATGTTGCTAAGGATATGGATGGGTGCTGCAGGGTTCCGCCACGTTCTGGGCGCAACCTATGACACAAGCTATTCGACGGGTCCGGAGAGGCTCCGCCACGTTCCAAGCGCAACCTATGATTCAACGCATGGCGCATCATATTCGACGGGTCCAACAAAATCCCGCCACGTTCCGGGCGCAATCTATGGCGCATCCTGTGGCACCATTTGGGTTGCCCATCGTCGTCGCCATCATCATCAGCACCATCATCGTCCTCGCCGTCTTCATGACCATCATCATGGTCATCCTCATGACCATCATCATGATCATCCCCATCCCTTCTCCTCCACTCATCATCATCAACCTCATCATGGTAATCGTCAGTATCATCATCATCATCATCAGTAACGTCATCATCATCATCATCATCATCACCGTCATCATCATAATAAGACCAGCAAGGCCGGCTGGGCCGGTAACGGGCTGGTGGGCCGGGCCGGTAGGACCGGTACTTAACGGCCGGCAAGGCCGGTATAGGCCGGTATATGGCTGCTGGTATAAGCCGGTAAGGCCAGGGGAAGGCCAGGGGCCGGCAGGGCCGGCAGGGCCGGTTGGGCCGGCAAGGCCGGCAGGGCCGGCAGGGCCGGCGGGGCCGGTAGGGCTGGCAGGGCCGGCAGGGCCGGCAGGGCCGGCAGGGCCGGCAGGGCCGGCAAGGCTGGCAGGGCCGGTAGCGACCGGCAGGGCCGGCAGGGCCGGCAGGGCCGGCAGGGCCGGCAGGGCCGGCAGGGCCGGCAGGGCCGGCAGGGCCGGCAGGGCCGGCAGGGCCGGCAGGGGCCGGCAGGGCCGGCAGGGCCGGCAGCGGCCGGCAGGGGCCGGCAGGGCCAGCATGGGCCGGCAGGGCCGGCAGTGGCCGGCAGGGCCAGCAGCGGCCGGCAGGGCCGGCAGCGGCCGGCAGGGCCGGCAGGGCCGGCAGGGCCGGCAGGGCCGGCAGGGCCGGCAGGGCCGCCGGCAGGGCCGGCAGGGCCGGCAGGGCCGGCAGGCAGGGCCGGCTGGGGCCGGCCGGCAGGCAGCCGGCAGGGCCGGCAGGGCCGGCAGCGGCCGGCAGGGCCGGCAGCGCCGGCAGGGCCGGCTGCAGGGCCGGCAGGGCCGGCGCCGGCGAGGCCAGCAGGGCCGGCAGGGGCCGGCAGGGCCGGCAGGGGCCGGCAGGGCCGGCAGGGGCCGGCAGGGCCGGCAGGGCCGGCAGCGGCCGGCAGGGCCGGCAGCGGCCGGCAGGGCCGCCAGCGGCCGGCAGGGCCGGCAGCGCATTTTTAGTCTTTTTTTTTTTTTTTTTTTTTTTTTTTTTTTTTTTTCCAAATCGCCTCGGCAGTAAGCGCTCGTCAACCTCGAAGCGTCGGTAGCCTCGCCGCTCGATTGGCACTGCCTCATCTCGGCGCAGCCAGCCTTCTCGGCGAGGCGATGTACTCGATTGTCTTGTTCTGCATCTCGATTGCCGAGTTCTGCTTCTCGAGCAGCTTGGCCACTTGCTCCACAGTCTTGCTGTTCTCCTTCAGAACCTCGATGAGCTCGATGACTTGGTTGTTCTCGGCGGGCAAGGGGCTCGAGGCTTTGGGCGACGCCATGGCAGGGAAGCTGAAGCTCGAAAGCTCGAAAGACTCGAAAGCTCGGAAAGCTTGAAGCGCTCGAGCCAGAACGGTTGCGGGCGGGAGCATGATAATTGCTCGTTTCGCTGGATACATCATCGAAAACGTGCTCGTTTCGCTTGAGACATCCTCGAACAAACCTCTCGTTTAGCATCAGACATCCTCGACACATCTCTCATTTCGCTGGAGACGTCCTCGAGCAATTGCCCGTTTCGCTGGAGACATCGTCGAACAAATCTCTCGTTTCGCTTGAGACTTCCTCGACCAATCTCTCGTTTCGCGTGAGACATCCTCGAGCAATTGCTTGTGTCGCTTGAGACATCCTTTAGAAACGTACTGTTTCGCTTGAGACGCCCTTCAGTGTATGCTTGTTTCGCTTGACACATCCTCGAGTATATGCTTGTTTCGCTTGAGACATCCTCGAAAACTTGCTGGTTCCGCTTGAGACATCCTTGAAACATTGATCGTTTCGTTTGAGACTGCCTCCCAAAATTGTTGGTTTCGCTTGAGACATTCTGGAAAGCGTGCTCGCTTCGCTTCATGTTGCTATCTCAACATAAGAAGGAAATAACCTCGATGGCGAATTTTTCAAGTGATAATGAAGTTCGGCCTCCGCGCCCCCGCGCCCCCGACCAAACTCTTATTGGCCGTGGATAATCAACTCTTATGTGTATAGGGGGGTACAGTATTATCGTGTGTATGGGGTTATTGCCTGTGTGTATGATATACACTAGGTGGTGATGTATGCGGATTGCACTACAACGGCCTGAGCCGCAATGCTTGAGCCCAAATGGCTACGGACTTTCTTGGGGGTCTCTTGGGCCGTCTTGGCGCCCTCTTGGGACGTCGTGGGCGCCTCTTGAACATCTCTTGGGCCTTCGCGGGGCGCTCGTGGGGGACTCTTAGACCGTACTCGACGCCGTCAAGACGAGAAAGTCGTATATGATACAAATGTACGTTTTCCCATGGGAATTGGACGAATTCGGTGTTTTGGGCCCTCTTGGGAGTGCCATTGGAAGCCTCTTGGGGCCTCCTAGGGCTGTCTTTGGGCGGGAGGCTCCGATTTTCGGCTCTGGCTCTCCCTCTCGGGCCCCTCTTGGGGCCCTTTTGGGCCTTCTTGGGAGCCTCTTGGGCCGCCTGTTGGGCCGTCTTGGGCGCTTCTTGAAAACCTGACCTGACAAGAACGGGAAGCGAATGTTCGAACGTTCGTTGCAGGTGTGGCATCACATGGGGACGTCAAAACTGGAACGCTTGTGCGAACAGGAGGGGGCTGCGCGGTGCCCGAGTCAAGGATCCCTCGAAAATATACGACGCTCGCGCTCCCGAGGCGCAGATCCCTCGTAAAATACACGCGATACGCGCCTCCGAGGCCACGACCCATTGCAAAGTACTTTGGGTTCATGCCTCGGCGACCAGGACCCACAGAAGTGCAGCCAGATTCACGCCCTGGAACCGCTATTACTTGTATTGTGCGCAAGCGGTCAGTTACCACGCGGCCCCCGCGTCCACCTTCAAGATCCCGAGCTATCTGCCGTCCCCTTGGGGTTCGGTCCGGCTGGCTTGCAGGAGGGGGGATCGGGTTAAACGGACTAGATCCCTCACCCCTCCCAGGAATGCCCAGGATGCCTCCAGCCGTCTCCGGCCACCCCAAGATGCTCCAAGACGGCCCATCATATTTTGAATACGACCGGCGGTAACCCCAAGACGGTCCAAGAGGCCTGTAACATGAAGTCCTCTTGGATCCCTCTGGCGCCGTTTTCGGGCCCTCTTGAGCTGTCTTGGGCTGTGTAACCCGAATTCGGGATAAGGAGATGGAAAATCTAGTGACCCTCGGTCCATCCCGCCACCGTGCCGGGGTATTGAGAATGAGACGAAGTGAAAGTTCGTTGGGCTCTCTTGGGAGGCTTCTCGCGGGCCGTTTCGGGTCCTCTTGGGGCCTCTTTTGGGCCTCTTGGGGGCCTTTTGGTGCGTCTTGGGGGGTCTCTCGGGGGCCTCTTGGGACCTCTTGCACGCCTCTTGGCGCCCCAGGGCCGTCTTTGGGCGGGAGGCTCCGACTTTCGGTTCGGGCTCTCCATCTCGGGCCCCTGTTGGGGCCCTCTTGGCCCTTCTGGGGAGCCTTTTGGGTCGTCGTGGTGCCCTGTTCGGCCGTTTTTTTTTGTTTTTGTTTCATCACCCGGCGCTCCCATGTCCCCCGAGGCGCGGACAAGCCAGCCCAGCGCCGGGGCGGGTCGCAGAAAGTCGGAAAATGACAACACGGGTGCACGCCAAGACGTTCGGCGAGGGATCGGGCACCAAGTCAAAGGGCAGCCCGGCGCTCGCAGGCCTCGCTCGTAGGACTCCCCGGAGCGCGCTGCGCTGCCACGAGCGCGCGGCCCTGGAAACTCGGCGCAGCATACTCAGCGAGGAGGCGCGCCCGCAGTGCTATAATAGAATCCGCTGCGCTGGCTCGTGCCCCCACCCCCCCTCCGCCCAAATCTTGTACGTGCCCTCCACGCTCAGAATCCGAACACCGAAGACCGTCCAAGACCACAGCGCCGCGATCATCCGCGGCAGTTGCTCAGGCTGGACGTTCTCGCGCGACAGGGCCCTCCATGACCTCGGAGGACCGCGAAAAAACTAGAAGACAAACCATCCTGCCCTGTTTGGCCGTCTTGGGCGCCTCTTCGGAATCTCTTGGGCCGTCGCGGGGCGGTCTTGGGGGATTCTTGCGCCGTCTTCGACGCCGTGACGACGATAAAGACGCATATGCTACAAATCTACGTTTTCCCATAGGAATTTGACGATTTTGGCGTCTTGGGCTCTCTTGGGAGTGCTATTGGAGGCCTCTTGGGGCCTCCTAGCGCCGTCTTTGGGCGGGAGGCTCTGATTTTCGGTTCGGGCTCTCCCTCTCGGGCCCCTCTTGGGGCCGTTTTGGGCTTTCTTGGGGGTCTTTTTTTTGTTTCCCTGGGGGAGACGGAGGAGGAGCCCGTCGGTCTTCCGCCATTGGCTTCGACCTACAATGGGCAAAAACTGTTCAAATGCATTGCCGCTGTGAGATCGTCGTGGGTCGAACGCACAGCCGCGCGGTAGCGCGCGATGGGATCCACAGGCAAACCAAACCCATTCGTTCGGGTAACTTTGTGGCCAGCCTGCTTGGATTTGCGCACCATACTGATCACCGCACCCCTGCAATCTGCTCCAACGCACACGAGGCTCTGAATGGCAAGTGGGACGTCCAAGGGTCTTGCATCATCACCTTGCGCCCATGTTATGGATGCCGACTGTATGGCTGAAACGGTATCTGACCTTGGAGACAGCCGCCGCTGCCAATCAGCTCAACTGGCCCTCGGTCTCGGACAGCGCGCCAAGCTCCGTCGGCACGGCCAGCGGCGCCGCGCGTGCGCGCCGGTGGAGCCCCGCGAGCGCGGCGGCCGCGCCCGAGGCTGCCGCGAGGAGGCACAGCGGGATCGCCACGGCGGAGGCCGCCGCGAGGGTGCCCGCCTGCGCCGCTGCGCGGCTGTCCCTGCGCGCGTCGTCCAACAGCCGCGCGACGGAGCACTCGGTGCAGTTGTCGCACGCCGAGCATTCATCCTTGACTGCGGCGATACCCACGTTGCAGGCATCCTCGAGGGCTCCATCATCGCCAGGGTTGTTCGAGCCGAAGCCACTCGTCAACTTGTCCATCTGACACTTGATGGCTTCCGCGCAAGTTTGGCCCTGCCCGCAGATGGAACACAACTCGTTGCATGGGCATTTGTCGCGGCGCACCAGCGGGTACTCGATAGTCATATCGTCCTCACTGGAGTAAAGATTGCCTGAGATCGTAGTGCCACTCACATGCAAACACTGGTACCAGCCGGGCTCAGGCAGGATGTAGAAAGACGAGCCGTCATTGCGGCACTGGGGCGATACATCAGTAAAATGAAGGCTATCAGTGAACCTGAAATCTCCATCCGAGGTCACGGTGCAGTCGCAATAAATGAGCATTTTCCCGTGCGCCAGATGCCCATCGTACATAACCTGGTACTCCCCAGCGTAATCCTCGCACGCTCTGCTCCCAGGCTGATGGGTCGCGGCGGACAGGCTGCAGGGAAGCGGCGCCACCCAGCGCAAGGTCAGGCGTGCCTTCTGGACTTGCCATCCTACAGAACGGCGCAAGAGGATATTGCCTGTGTGTATGATATACACTAGGTGGTGATGTATGCGGATTGCAATACAACGGCCTGAGCCGCAATGCTTGAGTCAAAACGGCTACGGACTTTCTTGGGGGTCTCTTGGGCCGTCTTGGCGCCCTCTTGGGCCGTCTTGGGCGCCTCTTGAAAATCTCTTGGGCCTTCGCGGGGCGCTCGTGGGGGACTCTTAGACCGTATTCGACGCCGTGAAGACGAGACAGTCGTATATGATAAAAATGTACGTTTTCCCATCGGAATTGGACGAATTCGGTGTTTTGGGCCCTCTTGGGAGTGCCATTGGAAGCCTCTTGGGGCCTCCTAGGGCTGTCTTTGGGCGGGAGGCTCCGATTTTCGGCTCCGGCTCTCCCTCTCGGGCACCTCTTGGGGCCCTTTTGGGCCTTCTTGGGAGCAACTTGGGCCGCCTTGGCGGCCTGTTGGGCCGTCTTGGGCGCTTCTTGAAAACCTGACCTGACAAGAACGGGAAGCGAATGTTCGAACGTTCGTTGCAGGTGTGGCATCACATGGGGACGTCAAAACTGGAACGCTTGTGCGAACAGGAGGGGACTGCGCGGTGCCCGAGTCAAGGATCCCTCGAACGTACCGCTCACTCCGAACTTACACAAGAGATACCAAATGGAATTCACAATCCGCGCAACTTCAGTCACCGCTCACCGCGAACGTCCACAAAAGATACCAGGTGGAGTTCACTACCCGCGCGAGTTTAGACGTCGCTCTTACCCCGAACGCCCACAACAGATATCAGGTGGAGTTCATTTTCCGCGCGAGTTCAAAACTTTTTGGAGGATGTCTCGAGCGAAATGCTGATTGTTCAACGAAAATGAGAAAAACCCATAGTTTTTCAATAATTTCGCTTCTTGGGCCATCTTGGGGGTCATCCGAGATCGCTCCGAAAAGATGCCTTGCAAGAGCTCTGTTGGCATCCCATGTTTTCGAGGATGTCTCTGGCGAAACGCCCATTTTCGAGGATCCGAAAATTAGGCGAGCGATTTCGAGATCCCGATGTTTGGAGGATGTCCCGAGCGAAATCGTCATTTGTAATATAAAAAGCCTGAAACGATAGCCTCCAACCTTTCTTGACATGAACGGGAAGCGCGTGAAATCAAAGAGCTTGGCAAGAACGTGCACCAACATCAAGTTCGCATGTACATCGCGTTGGCGCTCTTCCCGAACGTCCACAAGGGGTGCCAGGTGGACTTCGCTATCCGCGCCAGTTCAGACGTGCCGCTGACCCCGAGCGTACACAAAAATAACCAGATTGAGTTCACGATCCGCGCAAATTCCGACGTACCGCTCACTCCGAACGTCCACAAAAGATACCAGATGGAATTCACAATCCGCGCAACTTCAGTCACCGCTCACCGCAACCGTCCACAAAAGATACCAGGTGGAGTTCACTACCCGCGCGAGTTTAGACGTCGCTCTTACCCCGAACGCCCACAACAGATATCAGGTGGAGTTCATCTTCCGCGCGAATTCAAGACTTGTTGGAGGATGTCTCGAGCGAAATGCTGATTTTTCAGCAAAAGTGTTAAAAGAACTCATGGGTTTTTCAATATTTTCGCTTCTTGGGCCATCTTGGGGGTCATCCGAGATCGCTCCGAAAAGATGCCTTGCAAGAGCTCTGTCGGCATCCCATTTTTTCGAGGATGTCTCTGGCGAAACGCCTATTTTCGAGGATCCCAAAATTAGGCGAGCGATTGAGATGCCGATTGTTGGAGGATGTCCCGAGCGAAATCGTCATTTGTAATATAAAACTAGAACCACGCGCGCGCTTCGCGCGCGCTTAGGTTCTGTCGAGTCACAGACCCAGGAATCGTTGTGAGAAGAAATTGGTGACGCGAAGCGTCGTGGGGGCGCCCTTGGACGTCTGGGGTCTCCTGGGGCCTCTTGAGGGGCCTCCTGGGGGCCTCCTGGCGGCCTCTTGGGGCGGAAGGCTCGAGCTTGCGGTTCGTGGTCCCCCTCTGGGCCCCCTCTTGGGCCCGTCTTGGGGCCCTCTTGGGCCATCTTGGGCGCCTCTTGGGCCGTCTTGGGGCCCTCTTGGGCTGTCCTGGGGCCCTCTTGGAAGCTTCTTGGGCCGTCTTGGGGCGGTCTTGGGCGCCTCTTGGGCCGTCCTGTAACGTCGGAAAGCCCAAAAGACAACTTTGTTGAAAATGTACGTTTTACGAAGGGAATGGGCAATTTTTGCGTCTAGGGGCCCTCTTGGGACGCATGTTGGAGGCTTCTTGGGGCCTCTTGGGGGCGTCCTTGGACGTCTGGGGTCTCCTGGGGCCTCTTGAGGGGCCTCCTGGGGGCCTCCTGGCGGCCTCTTGGGGCGGAAGGCTCGAGCTTGCGGTTCGTGGTCCCCCTCTGGGCCCCCTCTTGGGCCCGTCTTGGGGCCCTCTTGGGCCATCTTGGGCTCTGGGCCCTCTTGGGCCCGTCTTGGGGCCCTCTTGGGCCATCTTGGGCGCCTCTTGGGCCGTCTTGGGGCCCTCTTGGGCTGTCCTGGGGCCCTCTTGGAAGCTTCTTGGGCCGTCTTGGGGCGGTCTTGGGCGCCTCTTGGGCCGTCCTGTAACGTCGGAAAGCCCAAAAGACAACTTTGTTGAAAATGTACGTTTTACGAAGGGAATGGGCCAATTTTTGCGTCTAGGGGCCCTCTTGGGACGCATGTTGGAGGCTTCTTGGGGCCTCTTGGGGGCGTCCTTGGACGTCTGGGGTCTCCTGGGGCCTCTTGAGGGGCCTCCTGGGGGCCTCCTGGCGGCCTCTTGGGGCGGAAGGCTCGAGCTTGCGGTTCGTGGTCCCCCTCTGGGCCCCCTCTTGGGCCCGTCTTGGGGCCCTCTTGGGCCATCTTGGGCGCCTCTTGGGCCGTCTTGGGGCCCTCTTGGGCTGTCCTGGGGCCCTCTTGGAAGCTTCTTGGGCCGTCTTGGGGCGGTCTTGGGCGCCTCTTGGGCCGTCCTGTAACGTCGGAAAGCCCAAAAGACAACTTTGTTGAAAATGTACGTTTTACGAAGGGAATGGGCCAATTTTTGCGTCTAGGGGCCCTCTTGGGACGCATGTTGGAAGCTTCTTGGGGCCTCTTGGGGGCGTCCTTGGACGTCTGGAGGCCATCTTCAGCATCTCGGGGCCCTCTTGGAGGCCTCTTGGAAGTTTCTGGGGCCGTCTTGGGCGCTCCTGGGGCCGTCTTGTCTGACCGGGGAGGCCTCCGGCAAGCCCCGACGAGCCTCCGGGCCCCCCGGGGCGCACATTTGTGGTCGAGGTCCCGGCCCCGGGCCCCCGGACCCGGTGCGCCGTTATATGTATAAGCCTGAAACGATAGCCTCCAACATCTCCATTTTGTGAGGACGTCTCAGCCGAAATGGCCATTCTGGGGAATCCGCCAGGGTCGGGCCACGGAGGAACCCTGAGCCCTTTCCCCCCTCTGCACCCCCCCCAGTTGATAACTATTTCCCTCCGGGTCTGCACCAGCGTCCATCGCGCGACTCTTCGAGTCTAAGCGCGCTTCCCGTCATCCGCCAGCGAGGTGCCCCATGGGACCCGTAGCCCTTAGTTAGAAACCTGACCAGACAAGAACGGGAACCGAATGTTCGTACGCGCGTTGCAGGTTGAGCATCACATGGGGACGTCAAAACTGGAACGCTTGAGCGAACAAGGCGACGGTTCTTTAGGGGCGTTTTCGAAAGTGTTTGCGTCACAATGGTGCTCTGGATGCCTTTGTGGGTTTTTCAATTTTTTTTGGGGGGGTTGTCTGGCGGTTCCTGTGAGAGCTGCTATTGGGAGTCCTGGGGTCCTGGTTCGGTTCGTCTTGGATCCGTTTTGGTTCCGCCTTGGGCGTTTTGGAGCGACCGTTCGGCGTTTGGGGGCGCTTTTAAGCTTGCTTGCCTTGGGCGTTTTGGAGCGACCGTTCGGCGTTTCGGGGCGCTTTTGAGCTTGCTTGGGGGTCACGACGCGAAGGGCGGCTTGGGAGGACCAGGGCCCTTCGTGGCTGCCGACGACCGCGAGAACGGCGAACATGACGATGAGGACAACGCGAAGAGCGCTGTGGCACAAATTGCCGGGGAAATGCCTAGAGGCCTCTTGTGGGCCTCTTGGCGCCTAAGCCTGGTGGGTCACTTGAGGCTTCTCGTGGCCGCCCTTGAATTCTCTGGGCCTGGGCCGTTGCAGGGCCGTCTTGGGGCCCTCTTGGGGGTATGTTGAGCCTCTTAAGGGGGCTTCTTGGAAACCACTTGGGGCCTCTTGGGGCCTCTTGGGGCCTCATGCGGCCCTTTTGGGACAGAAGGCTCGAATTTTCGGTTCGTTGTTCTCGTCTGGGGCTCCTTTCGGGGCCATATTGGGGCTCTCTTGGGCCACTCTTCGGCCGTCTTGGGGCCCTGTTGGCTCGTGTCCCGCACGGAAGGTGTTACTTCTATCGGGCGGGTGTGCAGATCTCGTTGGTGCGTCTTGGCGTACTTGGGGGCGTCTTCGAAAGTGTTTGCGCAGCAATGGTGCTCTGGAAGCTTTAGGGGGGGGTTTCAGAATCCTCTCGGGGTTGTCTCGTGGTTCCTGTGCCAGCTGCTTTTGAAAGTCCAGGGGTCCTCGTTTGGTCCGTCGTTGAGCAGTATTTGGAGCCTCCTGGGCCCGCTTGAGCAAGTTTCACAAAGTTTCCTGAGTCGTAGATATGATCCTCGGCCTAGAGGCAGTTGTCTGTACGAGTGTCAGGTCTTCAGTGATGGGCTCACTCAAAGTTCCCAGGTCGGCCGTCCTCAGAGTCATCGGGTATCACACTAGCTTTCGCCTAGGCTTACCTTCCAAACGCTTCCCGACAGCTAACTGAGGTTGAATTATGAGTGTGCGCGAACGGCCGTTATTACTTGTATGATGCGCGGACGGCCAGTTGGCTCTGAGAGGACCTCCTAGCGGCGCCTCCTGGGGCCTCCTAGGGCCGTCTCTGGGCGGGATGCTCCGACTTTCGATTCGGGCTCACCATCTTGGGCCCCTCTTGGGCCTTCTTGGGGGCCTCTTGGGCCGTCTTGGCGCCCTCTTCGGCCGTCTTGGGCGCCTCTTGAGTCTCTTGGGCCGTCGCGGGTCGGTCTTGGGGGACTCTTGGACCGTCTTCGACGC